TTTTCCCATTACAATTTTTCCATTGCGATATAAAATAAAAATTATTTAACCATTATCTGAGAGAGACGTTAAGTTTGCTTAAAATGTGTTTTTAATTAAAACGGACTACATCGACTGTTTGACAAAAACATTATTAGCCTTCATGGCGGTTGCGGGTTTGTTTATATAAACACGCTAATTCAACTGTATTCGCTTTATGTGCACATTGGACACTAAGAGCATTTATACATTATGTACCGTATAAATAATTATGTGCAAATACGTGTCACAGAAATATTGTCATTTAACAAATAAAATTATGATGCAAAATATTCATTTCAAAAAAGTGAAAAAATGATTATGGTTGGTCGCGAACCGTTTGAAAAGTTAACACCTATGTAAAAACTTTCTATTGCAGCTGCGATATTTTAAATAATATAATTGTGCTTTGGTTCAGGGTTAAAATATCATTAAAGAGTTTTGTTTGGACTATTTATATTATTTGTTTTTAACGGGAGGGGGGGGACAAGTTAAAACATTTTTGCTCTTTCGAGCACACGATTTGACTATCCAATATTTACGATTTACTGAGGATACCGTGAATCGTGAGCGTTCATACGGTGAAAAATAATTCAGTTAAAAAATGTTTAACTAATTAAGTGTTACGATGAAATCTTATTTACTGGCGATACAACTATAGCTTACTGAAATATTGTAGTTGAATTATTAAAGTTATTCAAACTAGAAACAATATGCATGCTGTTTTAACCTCTACAAACTCACAGTGTAATGTAATCTATTAATTTTGTGCACAGAAGTCCAAGCTGAACTCAGTATTGTAAACTTTACTGAAAACTTCTGACAAAATAATACTGCGGAATAGGTGTAAGTCTAGATGTCTGGGCGAGATATTTTGCGAGTACCATACGACTCTGAAATAATTTCGGTTCCCACGTGCAATATCTGCGTAATATTCTGAACAACAAAACAATCGGTACAAAACATTTCTCTTGCGTTCGTTCGAGGGATCGAAATTCATATTTATTTATGTAAATAAACTGCGGGGGAAAGTATAATATATAAATTCTTCCGTAAAAAACATATACATTCATTGCAGTGGAGTTCGAGTTATAAGAAACTAAAAATGACACAATACCAAATAAAATGCAACAAAAGTCGAGAACGCGAACGAGAAAAAAAAAAAAACAAAATTAATAACGGTGATTACGCGACTTTATGAAATATTTAAGAGCTACGGACGACTGCGGTGTGTGTGAAAAATGGGATGTCGTATAATATTTTTCTAACAGTCTTTGAATATTTGGGACTTAACGCTGCCTGCCTTCAGCTTATTTTTCTTCAAAGCGACCGGGGAAGAGCATATTTTAAATTAGTACGGACAATTTGTCTTTGTGAACGAAACAATAACCTTTTTCATCTAAAAAAGTATCGTACCGGGGTGGATCCAGTCGGATAATGTTAGGCCAAAACTATTTAGAACATTAAAAATATAAAACGTCTCGTGGGTATCGGGTTGACAACTTTTAACCGAGATTCATTTCTGTCACATTAATTGCGATTAAATGCAAAAAAAAAAAAATATATATATATATATTTTTGCATATATTTTATATATATATATATATAAATAATAGCATTTCCCCAGAGGCGTTTATAATATTATACCTGCGTATTTTTTATCTACCTTAAGACGCATTCAATAAGTTAAAAATAATTAAATCTCCGACGACACGGACTAATGGTGTTTATTAAATATTATATACAAGTCCGTTTTGGTTCAGATTTTAATGTAAAATGTGTGTGTACATACACAAAATATACTAGCGGTAATCGTAAATATGTACTAAATATTAAACTTTTTTCGACTCAATAAGTACTACTCGAACGTGCGTCTTAGGTGACCGTTATTGTGCGGGGTGTTATTATTTTTAAATCAGAGATACAAAAGTTTTTGATGGGCTGCCACCGGATAGGGTATTTGTTTGAATTTAAAACCAATATTATCCCATCGAAGTCAAATCATTAATTAATATTAATCACCGAGATAATAGCTCATCGGAACACTCCGTGTGTAGTAGCGAACTAGTCAAGAATACGATAGAAATACAGTTGAGTCGCGATAACTCGAATCTCGATAACTCGAAAAACTTGACAACTCGAATTGTGTTTTATTCCCCTAGAAAATTTTTCCCCTATAAATAAATTAGTTAGATACATCGAATAATATATATCTCGAAGTGAATTTTTATCCCCCTTCAACTTCGAGTTATCGCGACTCGACTGTATAATTTTGAGTTTACACCGGCAATTATTAAACTACATAATGACTACTTATTATTCGTTTAAAAAGATAATGTAGAATAACATTTCTTATCTGCATGATGGAATTTAAAACATTTTTGGAAGTTTTTCTTTTCGATCAGAAGAAAACCCATTAACAAATTCGAAAAGTTACTGCACCGATTGGCAGACAGAGACGTAACAATTATACACGTATACAGATGAACCTCTATTTAACAAACTTCTATTTGACGAAACTTAACGCATTGAGTTTTTTTATGAAGCCGTGCAATTTTCATTAAAAAACGTTTCGGTTCAACAAATTATTTTTTGGTTTTTTTTTTCTACTGTACTTTATAAATTATTGTAATTTATAGAGTACACACTCATAATAACCATAGGTAAAACACTTCAAAGAGATCTGCGATAAGGGCACACAATAATCATTTACCTATACTTACACTAAATTACTAACATGACATTATGAATATTAATTATTATTTTAGTTTACTATCGTAAATATTTTTTTTTGCATATAATTCGTACTGTAAAAGCGATTTTATAAGTGCGGAAAATTGCATTTATTTTTTTTCGAAATTTGTATTTAACGAATACTCTTTCATAAAATCGTAAAATTCGTTAAAAAGAGATTCGACTATAGTTAAACAACATTCATACTAGATTCAATCTATTCTACATAGTTTAAACATATACATATTTTAAAACATTTGCGTAACGATCGGATTGATTGACGTTTGAAAATGCGAATGTTCGCAGAAAGAGCAAATGAGATGTGAAATAAACAAATATTACTTCTGTTTTCCTGCATCATCAGTCCTGTTCAATATTTGTGAGATCCAATTCTCTTCTCTTCCCCCCCCCCAGTCACAATATTGACAAATTTCGCTGTATATTTATATTGTCTATGGTTGGATTAATTTTCGGTTTTATACTGACGATAATGGCCGGATGTCCGGCGCGATCCCATTGTGTTGATAGTAAATGGATTTTGTCCTTCAGCCGATATAGGAGCGCCTACATGCTCTCTTTTTTGTTTTCGAATAATAATTTAGAATCGGCTCGATCGTTTGAATCAATACAGCGGCGCTTTTTGTCGATACGAAAACGATTTTAATATAATATTGTACTCGTGAGGACTACAGCGAATATATCGTTTTAAGGAAACATTCTACAATATAAGAATCCAATAGAAGTTAGAAATATATTTAACGCCGCGTCTTGAGAACAGGAATTTATGTACGCGCACGTCCGAGAACTGATTAAGAAATAATATCGTTCCGTTGCATGACGATTATCATTCGTTCGCTTTGCGGTATTCTCTAGATAAATTGCAAGGGGGCCCTTAAAATTTTTCTTGAGAAAAACTAGAAATTTGAGAGGGGGGGATACGAATAAAAACTATTTGTAAGAAAGGCTTTTTAAAGGGTTTTTCATGCACGCATTATATAGAAAATTATAGCAAGATGATCCTTTGATCGAAGGCGGTCTCTTTTGATGATTAACTTATCCATTTAAGATTGCAATGGTTAAGTTGGGCTATAATTATTTGAATAAGTGCCTAAAAAATCGTTTTTATTATTCTATAAAATGTGGTATTCTCAAATAATGCACATCATTAAACAGTAAAAAATTATAACGATCTCAGTTGTATTTGATCTTAAATACTAAAGTTTCAAAGTAAAAAATCAAAAAACGACATCGTTTAATTTGTTATTTTTAGTCATTGTTTCAATTATTTATACATAGGGACATTACAGAAGTCAAATATGACAAATATTTTACGCATTTAAATCGTCTGCATAATTATATTAAAGCATATATTAAATATATGATATTTACAGTTGTTTGAAAAAAATATACCTCGGCATTAATTCAATTTGATGGAAAAGAACCTTTTTATTTGTAAAAAAAAAAAAAAAATTAGCAACGAGTTTTGTGGTTTTACAATTCTTATTTGATCACGTTGAATAGTTCTTTTTTCATCAATCTTGAGCATTCCATTTGCGAAATTGTATTTCAACAAATTTAAACATTTTAATGGGATGAAAACTTAAACATATATAAGTTACCCTTCTATGATTTTTTACAGTAGTTTGTTTTATATTTTATAACAATACAATTAATTATGATATAAAATAGTGTAATTACATGTTTAAAAATCGTCTTCGAAATCGAATCGCAATTAATTTTTTATGAACGTTTAGTGTATAATTTTTTTGTAATGGATTTGTTTAGTTTTAAATTGTTTAGCTTATATAAAAATGTTTATTCTATTTCAAACTTATGTAATATTGTTTTTATTCGTGATAGTATAATCAAGATTTGTGAACATGAAATTTCGTTTTTCCCAGTTTTAATTTTTAATATTACATTTTTTCCATAATTTATTTCCGTCGTTGTTGTCATAACTTGATTACTTAGAACGCCGTGTAATAAATATACAATAGTATACAATACTATTATTGTATTTTGCCCAGCTTCTTTTAACTACAGCTTTTATCGCATAATTATAATTGTATAATAGCAGTTATAAAAAATGTAATCAGCCATTCACGGTTATATACACTTGCAACGATGTTATTGTAAAAGTGGATTGCTATTTAAATTTAATTATTTTAATAAGCATTCTCATGATAATACCTATATAACAAACCGCACGACTATACTAAATAATTACTACATCATAATTTTAATCAGCTTATTTTTTCGTTTTTTTCACAACGGTTCGACAATGTACGCATATATTACATAAATATACGTATTTTGTTATACCGTTCGATATTATTTAGTATGTCGCACTAGCACGCGTCTTTGCGCGATATCTTGCGGAGGCGGCCGATTTGTTTACTATTTTCTAACAAAAAATAATTTAAAATTATTTCAATTCCGTTCGTCTTCGACTAGGATCGAGGTTTCTTCTCACATTTATTTACCAACGTCTGCAGCTCGCACAACATCGATCAACTTTAAATCTAACATCATCAGTCTGTGTTGCTTTTTAACACTGATGCGCAGCCGGCCACATCCAGCAGTCTTTACATTATTTTAACACACTTTTTACAACAAAGAATAATTAATCTTTGTCGCGTTACTCTGGCAACCTAGTAAGTTATCATCCGCTTGGTTTGTTTTTTTTCTAATATTATTATTATTATTATTTTTTTTTTGTGTGAACATATTCAAAATGGTTTAGCAAACGTTCATCAAACTATTCCGTATAATGATTTACACGTGTATGCGTTCGAGTTGCATGAAACTTTACTATTGCACGAAACCGAGGAGATCGTGTGTGCTAAAGATTACGGGAGGAAAAAGACATCTCTTAAAGACGTTCGATCGTTATTGTTACGTTATGTACTCACATACGATTCGTTCGTTCGTAACCATAGCATATTTCAATCGTACGTCTACGTGAGAATCACTATATATTAGTTCGACAGTTCGATGAACGGACAAACGCACCGGTGTTGGTAAAAACTATGAACAAGTGCTCGCGCTCACCTTTAATATTATACTGGTAAATAATACAACCGTTGTTGAATTATCCTACCTTATGTTAGAAATTTTGGTTTTTCATGTTTTCTATTAGTTTATACGTACTACGTTTCACTCAAACAACTGACATTTGTGTGAATGCAATTCTAACGTCTGCGAATTAATAACCTTATACGAACAATAAATATTATTCTACACTTTTCCCATGCCCAAGCTGATTCGATTTTTTTTCCGACCAACTAATGTTATGTACATGGTCCAAACTCACAAGAACTCTGAACTACATTCCGTTTGAACGTTCATTACACGCAAATACACGGTACATAATGCATTGTGGAATCGACGAACTGAATAGATGAATATGCACTGTTCATACCGACTCTTCAGTTTCAGATGAACGTAAATGTCGATCGTTTTAACGACGATAAATGCACATTTTTCCAACCGGTAGTGTAACGATCACAATATCGTATAAATATATACTTTTAACATATCTCTACTGTGCACACGAACTGTCCAACAATAGTAAAACAGCAGTTGAAAAATTTGGGTTTTTTTATTGTTTCTGTCAGGATTTCGCTGGTTGATAAACGTCAATATACTGTTCGCGAGGGCCTATTTTTTAATGTCGTCAAGTATTTCGAACCCCACCGAACCCGTTTCTACGTCAGGGAAATTCTATTCACTTGTCCGAGCGGCGTTCGACGGATCGGGTCCGTCGCAGCAGCGGATCAACAGGTATAACAAGCGGTCGTAACCGATTGAAAGTCGGTGTTTTCGACCTGCGTTGAAGGAATGTCTCCAACGTTGGAAGCGAATCGCAATTAGCATTTGGTATACGGCTAATTGTACAATGTAAATGCACATCAGTTATAAGGACTTAAAAAATATCGATTTTAATCATATTCCTATATTTATAACATAATTTTTATTTTTAACTTTCTTTTCCAGCAAAATGTTTAAGTTAAATTAAGTTGTTAAGTGTGTACAAATTAACATACAGATATACAGTGGATTCCAGTGCTGTTCCTGAGATCGTATCATGCGCAGCCGACAACAATAGTTTAATGATCCAAAAACTCAAAGCGTCCCATCTTTGAGTTTTCGTTTTCGACGCGGTTGTTATTTTCAACAATTTTCTTGCGTACATGTAGGCATTGGCGTCATTTGGAGAAGGGGGCAAATAATGCTTTTGCCACAGTCTATAGTTTGACTATTCCGAAGTCGACACATCGTCAAGACATAAATACGTCTTTTACAAAGTCATTGACGTGTTGTAAATCGGAAAAATGATACGTGTACAGTATACACGGGTACATATGTACAAAGTATAAATCATTATATTTTTGGACTGGTTTGAAGTTCCCTTCCCTCCCGCCCACGTTAGTCAGTACTTCGATAAAATTAGCTGCTGAGTCGGAAATTTAATAAGAGCATGATGCAGACTGCTCTACACTAGAAGAAACTGAAATGACACTTATTACGCGTACAGGTGCTACGCGAACGTATAACATTTGACCGTCTCATTCGGTTCGGTGATGATATTTTATTCGAGTTTTGGCTTCGAACAAAAAGGATAGAAATAAATTTAATTGTTTTAATCGTTGTAAGATGTACATCGAAGCCAAAACCAAGATATTAATATGTAATTTTAATGTCTTACGTAGGTATACGGCGGCAGAGATGACGTGACTACCTATTATTTTGACATCGTCCTGTTAAATATTGACGTTAGCGTACGATTTCTGCAAAAGTTCGAGTTCACACTACCGGAACCGAAATCAATCACTATTAAACCGTTTACAATTTCACTGTTTCGTATGGTTCCTGAAGGATATTGCCGTCATCCTCGCCGGTGGATTGTAAATAATGTACGGAACGAGCATTATTATTTCGTATCTCCCGTAGCCATAAGTTGCGCAAGGAATAGCGCTAAACATTAAGGACATAAATCATAGATCGTGACAGGCGAACAAGAATTTTCGGCTCAAACGTTTTTCTATAGGAATCGAGTAGATCAATTTCGTTGCAAGAAAAATAAAAAATAAAACCAGATGACGAGCACACACTACATATGCACTTGTAAACTTATATATGTGTATGTTTGATCTTATATATTTGTGTATGGCATTATGTACAACCATGTACCGTATACATATTTGAACATTATTCATATATTCCTAGGCCGTGAATAATACATACTCTAAATACGATCCATAGTTTTGTATTCATACACGATCATGTAAGAGATAAAGACGTCGATGTTTGTACCACTAAATCTTCACATGTGATAATCCACATAGGCGATAATCCACATAGGCGATAATTATTATTGTTTATACAACTATAGTTTTATATTAAAAAGCAGAGCTCTCTCGACATTTTCATTTAGGGTAGGGGTTGAAAACCTGAAACGGGTATGTGGACTATATAAGGTAGGATTTAGTGATCACTAGGGCATGAATATTCTTACATTTGTAACTTTTTTCTACTGCACCAATTTATTGCTAAGTAATTTTTAAATTCGTTGTGAGTCAGTTATTTAATTTAAATTTAAATATTTCAAGTGCAATTTTTCGCAATTTTCGGAATTTTTTTCCTTTTTAATCGTAGTTTTGTAGACTTTATTCATTTTTAAAACAATTTTACATGCATTTTCCATTAAGTTATTGAATGGCTTTAAATCTGAAATTTATGATTTATTGGTTTATATTGTTTAAATGATTTATTGTGTATTTGACATTGTAGTATGTTTAGTTGTTACGATAGTTTGATTATTATTAAAATTGTTTTAGTCGTGGCCTTCTGGGATAGTTAGATTTGTCATATTTACAATTAATTTAGATAAGATTATATTTAGTACGTTTAAGATAATTTGAGAAACGTGATTATTTGAAAATCTGTTTTTCAGCCAGTTCGTGAATTTTGTGTGATCGTGTTCTTTTATTTTTATTTTTGTAATTATTCCGAAAATTAAGCAGAGTTTTCCACCGTTTTGACAAGAAAGAACCTTTTAATTTTAGTTAAAATATGAGTAACATATTTTTTTATGTTGTTTTAGAGTAGACATTTTGTGAAAATAAATATATCTTATAAATTAAAACGAAACGTTATTTTTAGTAAAATTTTTAATTTTTTATGCGCAATTTTCGGTATTTTTTAGTGCAACACTGTAATCAATTTTACTACTTTTTGACTACTACAACATCCGTGACCCAGTGATAACATATTTTAGCAGCGGTGTGTTACCGTAAATTATTGATCATCGGAATGGTAGCCTAAGACAAATTATTGAACAGTTATTGGATCAACGGTAATCGGTCTTCGAGAAAAGTTCAATTTTACGATGTGTCATACCGATCATATCGTCTGTATTTAACTAAATAGTTACTTATTTTAATGCAATTAATGGAAGTGAAATTAAAATCTAATAGTGTAGAAGAGATGAACGTTTCACATCAAGTATTTTTCAATTGATCGCAAAACAGGTAAAAGCCGCGTTACTCGCGACGTATTTTAAGATTGGCTTACTGCGGTCTGGTACTTCTCCTTCGTCCTGTTTACGCGTGGCGTGTGTCGCAGATTCCGAAATATTATATATATATATATATATATATATATATATATATCGATCCGGCTTATTATTATATCTTGACTCAGTTTTAAATAATTTCTAAAGCAAACGAATTATAATCGGCGCTTTACACATGTCGCGAGGGGACATATTTTTATAACCATTCGTCTAACAAAAAGTTTTTTTATTCTTCCTTATTCTTCTATATTATTATTCTTCCTTATTTTTGGCGAATCGCTCATGTTTATTTCATGTCGATCAAAAATAATTACGTTCGTAAACTATATACGAATGACCTATACAGTTGTCATGACAGATGAGTGGTTACAATTTGTGCGCTGCTATACGATACCACTAACCGTACCGAAAATTCGGTATATAACACATATTTACTCTCGGCCTGCGTCCCGCGACGAATCCCTCGGGGGTATCTTTCGAACATTAGCGTTACGCGCGCATCGCCACCATTGCATTCGGGTGGAACATCGAAACCGTGAAAACGTTCAACGACTGAAATTATATTATTACGGCAAAATGCGTAGAGTTTTTAACGTCTCACTGGACCGGCCGCAGTATATACGACGGTGGTGCCGTGCCATTTCGGGTTTATCGCAAATGTGTTTGTTAACACAATATCACTGATTTTTATTCAAATACGTCCACTGTGATTCCCGGTGAACAATAAATACATACGTATTTTCAAAACGCGTTTATAAATACAATATCTTTATTACATGCTGCTACTGGTTGTAGAATTCCACGATCGTGGTATCGGGACCAGTGGGCACTATATATATTTTGAATGATATTATTCTTATATACCTACAGCGCTAGTTTTATTACATTTATCTAATCGCTTATTTATGAAAAATATATTGATTTGTATAAATAATGAAAAGTCGGTTTTTTTTTTTTAATGTTAATCCATCTAATTTTATCGGGATTGCTCAGTTTAACTAGAGCTGAATTCATTGACGTTTTATTTTTAGAAATAGTTAAGAAATATAGAATCTCATATCACGTAAAATAAACAGGAAGATTAAAAATGCTTTTTTAAATTAAAACGTTTAGGAAAACTTCATTACAAGAAATAAGGTTCTTAAATCGATAAAATTAAAATTATATTTGAATAATTTTTAAATATTTTTATGGAAATCAAAAAAATAATTATATTTTAGTATATATACAGAAGAATATATTATTTTATTATTTACAAACGAAAATGTATATAGTTTTCCACTCCATAACTTATTTTTAATTAATTACTACTTCATCTATATATTTATATACTCGTATATAAGAGGATATAATTATGAACTAGAAATTAATGTACATTTTGTATACGATATAAATTATAAAATACATACTTGAGCGTTCAGAGAATTTATCTTAACATAAAATCACATAATTTTGCATATTTGCTCGAGTTTAAAGAGAATTTTAAAGTGAAATTCTGTAACTATCGAAGTTTAAACACACGAATCCGGTCTCTGAGCTCTGTTAATTTTTTATTAATACCTGATCGATGGAATTGAAAGCCGAATTTTCTGTAATAAATGTTATATTAGTTCAAAATGTAAATTCGTAAGTTATAGATTATAAATATATATATTTTTTTAGTGAGATTAATTTATGCAACAGCAAAGTATAATTAATTTTGTTATAACCATGCAGTTTCTATCTGTAGGATGTGCATATGCGTATTTATTATATGTGTTATACATAGATACGTAATTATAAAAACGTTCCTTAACAAATTAAATTCACTAAAATGGTAAATTTAGACCGTAAGTGAAAAATTATAACTCTTTTACAGTGGAAATTGAATCGAAACATATGCAACGTTTGTTAAGTTTGAGATGTGTATGTCATTAAGCAGTTGTTTAGTAGGTATGATTCATGGGTATCGGAGAGATAAGATGAAAAGTCACCGTAGATAAGTCGTATATACATATCAGCATTGATTCATAAACAAATGATAAATTGTCTCATTAAAATAAGAAAAAAACGATTCTGCGGGGCAAAGATCGGTGTACATTATAATGAACATCTTATTTTTTTTTTTTAAATACAATTATTAGTCCAGTGCATTTCGGAATAAAATAATTTATTTGCTTAAATTAAAATCAAAAGTCTTAAGATGTATATGTTTTATCTAAAACTTTTTCTTGGAAAAATCTTAAAGATTAAAAATAAAAACAACGTTAATGTTAAAAAAATAAAAATAAACAAATTACATCGTATTTGAAAGTTTTAAAAATTAATGAAATATCGACAAATATTTTGAATAAATGTCTCTGATTTTCGTCGGAACTCGGCCGCGTTCGAGTATGACGAATCGGGTGCGGGTCGCAATCGCCAATAGTCAGGAACTGCGAGTGGCGTTTGGTGAGCAATATTTACACCGTGCAGCGGTACAAGTACAGGGATTCGGTGAGAAAAATTCAGTCGACTACTAGTGTCAGAAAACGATTAGGCGCATATTGATCGGCCGGTGAAAGCGGGAGGGCCTGACCGTAACGTATGCGGTTATAATATTATTCGATCGAATTACCGTTGCGGATAGTCGCGCGTAATGTAATGTTGTAGCGAGTTTCGAAAATGCACTTTTGAAAAGAAAAATGAAAATAAAAGAAGAAAACTCCATATCGACTGTGCCAATCGCCAGGGGACGTTGAGCAAGATGTTTGCCCGTACAAAATGCGGCGGACATTTCAAACATTTGAGTAAGTCGATTGGGATGTACATAATCTCTTTTCCACTGGCTGGTAGCGCCGTGAAACAAACAGCGATAACTTACCGTTATTATGCAAATTAGAGCACTGGCTATTGTGCAATGTGACTTACAACTTATTATTACCGATTTCTTACGATAACCCTTTCCGAGTTGGTAATCGTCGTTAATTCGCGCGCGATAGCCGTCATCCCGATCGGTATTGTATTTTACGCAGCAGTTGTTTCACACGTTTTCGTATTGCCGCCGCTTTATATGTGCCCACTTATCGTTATTAAAATGAGTTATGTATAGATTAGAATATATATATATATATATATTATATAGGTATGAGTCGACCAACATCTGGACGAATCCGTCGGATCAGTCGAGTTCTGTTTATATTTGTATTACATAATAATGTAGTTGTTGTAGTATTATGTTGATTATTCAATGCGACAAAATATAGGCTGTTAAATACGTTATTTGATCAAATAAATAATACACACACATAAGAACCAGATGCATCGAAATATTATATATATTTCACTGGTCAATTGATGTTAATTGATTTAATATTTATCTATTTTCCGAAGTCAAGTACTTACTTAACATGTATTGATTCAACGCGATTGATAGAGTAATTATTATGTTAGCCCTGGGGTGTAAAACCCTGTTCAAAATTTAACATGCTGAAATGTTGTAATTATAAAATATTTGAAACGTTTCACTTGCTTTAATCGTTTCAGGTAAATATTTTCAAAAAACCTAATATAAACGATTTTTTTTTGTCAGTATCATAGGTTTGCAGCCCTTTAATAGTATATTAACGATAATGTTTCTTATGGTTTTAAGTTATGATTTGATGATCAAAGTGAATATAATTTATTGATTTTGGAATTAAGATTTAGTTTTTACTATCCATCAAAACAAAAAGAAGTTTGTAATCCTGAATCAAGAGTTTCATGTAATATCAAGGTAGATAACAAAAAAAAAAAAATAAATAATTTTTCAATTTTCTCAATATGAGTAGTTTTTCCCACAAGCAATAAGAAAAACGTTGGTAAATGTTAAATGTCGTAGGGAAGTAAACCGAATAGATTTTTTTTTATTGATAAAATAAAGAAATTCTTATTTTACGTTATCAAATGAAAATAAAGACATAATATAAATTGTAAGATTTAGCCAAGGGAGTTTTTCATGTGAACGCTGTGAGTCTTAATGATATGGCATGGTTTATTCATTTTTTTAACAATAACTATACATTTTATTTCTGATTAAAATGC